GCTTGTAATGATTTTTTTTTTTTAATATAAAAGTAGAGAGAATGGCTTTAGTATTATAGAGAACATGGTTCATTCTTAGTCATCCACTAAATCATTATTTTAAATTTTGTAAAAATATGGGAGGATATCATAGCAAAATTTCTTTTCTTATTTGACATACATTTGAGGAAAATAATTTATATTGTTAAGGAAAATGGATCTCTGGTTTAATCAAATGATCAGGGGATAGTGCTATATTATCTTTTGCATTTGAATTTTAATTAGAAGGTTAATATATAAAAGAATGTTTTGTTTTTGTTTTTTTTAATGGATCACGAACTAGCCCATCAAATTTCTCAAACGGTCAAAACCCATTACCATTTGAGCTAGGAGTATTCAATTAAATTAAATATGGAAGGTTTGGAGTGGAGTGGAGTGGCATTTCGTAAATAACACTAAAGACATAACCGATTCTTCATGTAAGGAACAATGGATCCAGGACAAGTATCCATTTTCGAAGAACACAGCTTCCTCTGCATACATATATGCTTAAGAAACTTCTCTCATCTCAATCCCCGCACAAGTACGGTAAAACTCTACTTCAAGATTTCTAACAGATGATCTTAGGTTGTAGTGAATCTTTTTTTAGAAAGCTGGTTTTGTCTTCTTCTTTGTTCATGGAAGAGAAATTAGCTTAATAAAGTGACTGTTTGGGATGATGTGAAACTCCACTTAGCCTTTGTAATGATGTTAGATTCAGATCAAAGTGACATCATGCAAGCCAACGAAACAAGTATGTTTTGAAAGTGAGTTGTATGATTCTCTCTGGTTTTAAGTACTCTAAACACACAAGGTCGTCACAAATAGTTGCAAATGTCAAAAATATGCTCTGTTCTCACAGTCCTGAATGTTCATTTTGCTTGGTCAAACATGAATCCTTAGCACGGCTGTTTAAAAGCTTAAGAATTTGCACCCTACCTATATATGTGTTTTACCGTTGTCTGCAGTTGAAGACATTCAGCAAAAGTTGCTCCCCATATTAATTATGTGTGTTTTGGTTTGCAGTCAAATCTAGTCCAGTTTGTGCTATTACTATAGCAGAAGCTATGATGAAGTTAGAGGTCTATAACGACTTCGTTCAAGTAAGTTAACACAA